CAGGAAGCGTTGGTCCACGTAGTGGTCCGGGTACGGCTGGCGCTCCCCCAGGACCTTCCTCCAGGCCACAGCGGCACCTGGGCCGTCGTCTGGCCCCATTGCCCTGAACACCCGCACAGAATTAGCTTGGAAGGAGACTCCATTCTGTCCTGAGATTGGAAACTGTTCTACAGTCTCACAACTATTTGATGATGAAACAAAGCAATCAGAAAAGTGGAGTTTCAATCTCTGTAAACAGTTCTCCCTGAATTTGAGGATGTTTTTCCCTCCCACATGGTTATATGGTCCATAGGAGTGAATTCACATCGACATCGCAACGCAGGAAAGTGTAATTTTCAATTTTAATGTCAACTAATAAAGGCAAACGGCAAACAAAGGCTGCACCAGGGATTCCAATAACACATGTATACACATGTATACATACGCAAGTCTTGCGTGTCAACGCGCCTGCGCGCTTAAATCACCACCAGCAACTTCCGGGTTTGAATCCTCGGTTAAAAAAAAACGTATCAATCGCTCATGAGTTATTATGTTTATAGCCGGCGATACGTTGGCCACACTTCCCGGTAGAGTTAGGAGCTCTTACCCGAACGTTGGCAACACTGCTCGGTACAGTTAGGAGCTCTTACCCGAAGAGAACGTTGCTCTTGGCAGCGGATCTTACTGCTATGCTAGCTTCCGGGAAATGCAAACGCATAACTGAGTGAGTAGCGACCTCAACTGTTGGAATGCGGTAACGCACGAACGCCCGTCACTCACCAGAAACAAACGTTCCCATTTTGCACATTTAAGACAAGTTTTGAGTAACATGTTCGCCCAAATAAAAATATAAATAAGTGTCTCATTGACCGTCTTAAAAGCTTCGTCTTAAAAGCTGCTCGTGAAGGGGGACATAAGAATGTTTACACATTATGGTATATAATGGCAAACATGCTTAAAATGACTCATTCATTATCAGAGTATTGGGGTTGATATTGTATTTTTATTACCTTATATATATATATAATGTACATTTATTTAAGATGCTAAAAGTATTACAAAAATAACAGGTACAAAATAAACCACTTATTTCATGCCTTCAATTTCTTATTAGATTTTCCTCTTATTTTATTAAAACTGAATTTAGAATGCTGTTTTCATCATTTGAACAATTTAGACACGTACTGTATAACATTTATTTCTCCTTTGGTCAGAATTTCGAACTGCCAAAACAAAAAGGGGAGGTTGTCTTGTGATGTTGCAGCTGATAACACTATCCAAAGGTGGGTGCCAGGTAGGGATACTCACCACTATACTAACAAGGAGATATGAGCTCTGACGTCAGCTGCTTGAAGCGATAAGAAGGATGACACATTTTTCTTTTCGTCAAAAACTTTTAATTTACACATTTACAAGTAAATGAATAAATATCTCAACCTTTGAACTTGAGAAGTTCTGCTCAGTAATCAGTTTATATTAATCTTTATTTCTGATTGTAACAGTCAATAAAAGAGGTCAACACTATTGACAGTAGATTATACGCCATAAGAAAATCAATTGAACGTAACACTGTGTGGAAATGTAGGCTGGAAATAAACATGATGTCATTTCTGAAATAATGCAGTGTTTCTAAAAGGAAAGTTGTGTGTGTAGGTTTGACATTCATTTGTTTGGCTGACATTTGACAGCTCAATCAAACATTTAGTTCCACGCAAAGTAGTATGACACATGTTCGGGCTAAGCCTCCTCCCAACGATAAAAGCCTAGTGAGTCCGCTCAGTAATAAAAACTTACAGCAATGATGTTGACAAATAGAACTTGCCTCAACTTCAATATCCAGTAGACTGAAGAGAAAAAAAAAATCGTGAGGCTCATTTGTTGTGTTTCTGAAACATCCCAAACAGTGTTGTTGTTTTTTTAACAGGACCTCCATGCCTCTCCCTACAAAGTTTGTTACATGCGGATCTTCCTCTTGTCCTCGAAGAGCGAGCGGACCAAGTAGACCTGCACGCCCGACACCAGCATCATGACCATCAGGTTGACTACCGACCAAAAGTTGACCCGGTCAAAGTTGCTCTCCTGCAGGTTGCGGTCGCGGGCCTCGAAGGCGCGGAGTACCGTCTGGATCTGCACGCTCTTGCCCAGCCGCGACTTCACGCTATTGATGGTATCCTGTCGCAAGAGACGGCGGGGATAGAGTCCAAATGACAACATGTGAACAGGATACATAAGGTAAACGTGGCTCATACTTCATGCTCAACTCTCTGTCTTTAAGTCACTCTAGCCAAGGTTCTGCCCTCGGTTGTCTTCGTATTGAAAGCTCCACTCGCCTTTGGCCTAGAAGTATATCAGGCAGGGGTAACAAGGATGTATAAAGTGCGCAACAACGCTTGAGTGGTACTTGGGTATTTTGACGAAAATTAAATCACCGGTGAACTGTTTTATATTGCGGTCAACACGTATTCCGTTTCCTTTAAACCATGTTGAGCTCACTTAAAACACTGAATGACTATTTTAAAAAAAAAAAAAAGGCCAGCTGCAAGATACATTTCCTGTCACTCAGCTCAGCGACGCCTGCGTGCTCTTCGACACAATTCATCGGGGTGGAGCTCAAAACGATTGCCCTGACCCCAAAGAACTAATAGGTGAGAGTTCAGAACACGAGCCTGCTATCAAATCTATTTTGCCGGCTGGGTCACTTTGCACCCGGTGTGGCAAATACATCACTGGACAAAGTCTATTGAAAGCCTCTTTCACAGAGATGCTGCGAAATTGTCTCATGAGAAACTCGACAGAATACCCAGCCTTGATCTTGATCTGCCAGTGGTGAGCTGTGCATTTGGTATTTGGTTAACCACACTTAATCACCTCCTAACACAACACAGTTAGACGCAATTCTAGAAACCATCGATACCAGACCAAAATGCAATAAAACTGTACATCATCTGGAGCGGTTAAGAATCAACATTTGTAGAATACCTTGACAAAAATATATTTCAAGAAAAGCTCAATAAAATACATCACACTCACCAGAGATGACATTTAAATGAATTATGATGTGCGGATGGCTACAGAGCTGTTTTGCTAGTTGAAATTAGCTAAAAGAAGTTTTGATCTGACCAACCAATCAGAGGACGAAAAACTGCTGATGTCATCAGGGGCCAGCACTCTGGCCCTGTGAGGACGAATTTGAAATCTGATTGTTAAAAAAAAAAAAAAAAAAACAGTCCCATTGCTCATGTTGTTGAAGTAACATTGGCCAACATGATTGATTCCGAAGGCCCTGGGCAGATTAGATTGGCATGGCAACAGAGAGGGTGAAATCTGATTGGTCATAATTGTGATAATGTCCTTCGTGTTTGTCTTTGTCAATTAATGTCATACATGAGCTTTCAGGGTTTATTTTTAATGTATTTATTTTAATATTGTTGTACGTCCGTACAGAAGCAGGAAGGTCAAACAATCATTTTGTTTTTTTGTTTTTTAATTTTACACTTGTAAACTATTGTGTGTAGTACTTGACGAACACTCCAAAAGCTAAAACGAATACTAAACTAAAATGACGTTTTTTGTTTTTTTAAAATACAAACATTGACTAAAAATTAACCAAATTGAAAAAAATAAATTAACATTAAAAACTAGCGTGAAAAATCCCAACGTGTTTTTCCGACTCACCATGATGTCCTCCAGCTTCATGTCCAACATGTCGGTGCCGTGCACGTACTCCTTCCAGTCGTCGGGCTCCTCGTCGGTGTCCATGTTGTCCAGGATGAGCTCGAAGAAGACCAGCTTCTCTGAGACGCTGCTGAACGTGTTGTCGAAGCAGAACATGTAGTCCCCGTCCTCTGTCTCCACACTGGGCGAGGAAAGTGGGAATATTCGTCTTAGTTTTTTGAATGAAAAACAGAGCATCATATGCGTCCTTGAACTTACGTGTGCATTCCATCTGACTTGTGATGGTCAGTGTAGAGAATCTGGCCAGAGGGAGAGGAGATGTAGAAATCTACATCCAAGCCTCCGCCGTCCAAGACCTATGATTGACATTCAGCACCCAAGTGGGTGTATACCTGAAAAACATTTTTTCTGGTATTACATTCACAGATTTTTATTTCCAAGCATACTTCACTTCCTCAGCTCTTACATCACGTCCAGACTTCCTTCTTTCCTGACTGAGACTCGCTATTTCTTGTGTATCGTTCCCCCCCCCTATCCTACCCCCCCCCCCCCCCCCAGCATCTTTTCCTTCCTGACCATCTTCCATCCTCTTTCCTTACTTCTTTCACGTAAACCTCCTTTTTTTTCTTCTTTCCTTCACCCTTCTTTCTACCCTGCCACCCCAGACCATATTTTACATCCCTCCTCCTGTGAGCATTTTTCGTCTTTCCTTTCTATGCTCCTTTCTTCCTAATTAGCACCCTTCCACCTCAGACTTGTTCTTCCTTTTTGTTTTCTTTCCTTCCACCACAGACCTACTTGTCTTTCCTTACTTTTCTTCCTTCCTTGGATCCTCTCTTTCAATTATGATCTGAGTTTCTTCTTTCCTTCCGAATATCCTTCCTTCTCTGGCACATCAGACCTTCAGTTTTCTTCTGGACCTCCTCCTTTCCTTCAGACCCACTTGTAATTTTGTATCCTTCCTTATCTTGAAACTACTTTGGTGCCTTCCTTCCTTCCCTCCATCCATCTCAGACCTGCTTTTTGTTTCATTCCTCACCTCCCATCCCTGCTACCTTGTTTCCTCTCCTTCAGTCCACCATTCATATGTCGTAACCTGCCTCCTACCTTCCTGTTTGCAACATAAACACAATGAAAAGCATATTTTAAAAAGTGTATGTCTACTTTTGTCCCAAGACTATGGCTCCCCAAAACACCATGCCATGACATTGTACGCACCTCAAGTCGCGTCGTAAGTCTAGCAAAACCTTGTTTTTAGCAAAACCATGTTTTCTCTGACAGATTTCACTTGCAATCCAAATGAATATTTGAGTATTCCCGACCTGATATTCTATTTCCAGCGAGGCGTCTTTCTTCATAGTCTGGTAGAAACATTCCTTGCGACCGGCGGGCAGAGTGAACGTGAAGTCGCTGTCCAGAGACTGCGAGAAGCCGGCCAGTGCCGAAAATCTTTGTGAAACGACGACGAGTAACAACGACACGACGCAAGAAAATGGCCGCACCGTGGCCATAATCGCCAAAGTGACACAACAAGTAAAGCGAGTGATGGAGTCTACTTCTGTCGTTTGCCCCGAAAAAAAACCACACAAACTTAGGTCGAGTTGAGCCCCGCGCACACGCAACAGCTCAGGACCCCGCCTGATATAATGTTAACTTTTTATTTATTTAACAATAAATACCACTAGCCGTATATGTGTTTAATTCAGCGTGTTCGGGTAACAATATTATAGTCCTTTTAGTTCTAATTTTCCAGTTTTTTTTTATTGAAGGCAATATTTTGGACACCTGTTTACCAATGCATTATGGGAAGTGTTGTTTTTTTATGTTTTGAATTTAAAAACATCAACTTCCTTGATTAAACAATTATGGGGGAAAACCGAGTGTTCGAGAGAAGTGAATTATTGCTCGGAAGGAAACGTTACATAATGTATTATGGGACCTTAAATTTATTTCTCAACAGAGTCAGGACATTAAAAAACAATGTTATTGTTTTTTCTAATATAAATTAAGGTCACCATTTCATCCACTTGTTTCAAACTGGACTATGAAAAACAATTGTTTTTAAATGTATCTGGGTGAAAATTACATGGAAGAAAAATTATTTGATTCGAGTGAAAAAAAAATGTGGCTCTATTTCTGACGCATGTAAATTATTACATGGGGGAAATAATACATCCATTGACCGAGTACTGTACCTTATTCTCACAAGGGTCGCGGGCGTGCCGGAGCCGATCATAGCCGTCTTCAGACAGTGTCGGGTACACCCTGGTAGCCAGCCGATCAATTAAACTACCTTGCATGTTTTTGGAATGTGGGACGAAACCTGAGTACCCGGAGAAAACCGAAGTAGGCCAACATGAAAATCACACAGGAAGCTTGTAGCCTAGAATCGAACCCCAGAACTCTACACTGTGAGGCGGACATGCCACTCACCTCACTGCGTGCCGCCCAGGAGATATGACTAAATATTTTTAAATGGAGAATGTGAAAATGTCATTCATGGGAAATTCCTTGGTTATCGGTTTACATGCAAAATATACACGTGTATTTTTTAAAACAAATGAATACACCGTGGGAAGTTTACAGAATGTAAAACATGTAAATTAAATTATTGGTAATGTACAGCGTCTTGAGTATTTATTTTAATATTAATGAATTTTTCATGTCTTGAATTGGAAAATTATCATAAAAATTCGAAAACTACGCTATGTTCACACAGTGATCCAACTGTGGACATAAATCACGAGTTGGGGCAATGTAACTAATAATAAACGCTTTCCATTTGCAACGTCTGCAGGTTGCAGCTTTGTTGCAACATGTAACGAATCAATTTGTTATCAAGGTAAACGATGACGCGTCCTGTTCCACAGTGTCCGCCTCAGTCCAGTGGGCGGTGCTGTTTCCACACAGTTGTTGCATGGTGTCTGCCGATTGGCTGGCGAATCAGTGTCTTTTCATGATTGGTCACTTTCCCCGATATGGGAGTGTTTTAATTCGGCGAGCTAGCCGTCAACAGCAGTCTGAAAGGCACAATGGGATTTAGCACACGTTAGAGATAAACTCTCAAGCCAAAAGTAGACAGCTGCTTGGCCATTTTGAAACTTTAAGCACGACTAACGATTTATCTGTCTAATTTGTTTTGTTTGGTTGAGAGATTCGAAAGAAGCTCCAAAGAGCGAGGATGTTGGTCCCCGTGGGAAGATAATGAAGAGGCTGCGTGTTCTGGTTGTGTGCCTCATTGTAGCTCTCCTGTGCTGGTAAGACTGTTTCCGCATCCATGACTTCAAAGATGGGGGCGTGGGGGACTTTTGCAGGCTTTATTTGTTATGTTTGTTTTTGTTTTTTTTCTGAGAGAGGGTGAAGAGCATCTCGTCTCCGCTTTGCGTCCTTGTACGTTATCCTTCTGTCACCGTGGCTAACGTTGTCAGCGCATTCAAACGTGACACAAATTCATTCCAAATGGATCCAAAAGAAACGCCGATGTGGTTGTTTGTATGTCTTCAGTCGATAAAATGGAATGAGGAATCTTATCAACTTTATTTTTTTCATTTTATTGTTAAGTAGGTTAGCTGGGCAATCGTCATTTGGTAAAGGCAAACTAGCTTTTTTTTTCACCTGTACGGTGGCCGGTAATGTACAATTTTAGGAAAACTTACTGGAAAAATGTTATTAATTGTCGGTGATGTGGAAATGTGTGGTGTCTTGATCTTGCAGTAGATACAGTGTTGAACAGTATCTGTTGATGTAATTATGAAATTTTATGTCGTAGTTTATCTTGGAAGACTTCGTTCAGAGCAAATAAGCTAGCTCATATCACCTGTATGGTGGTTGATAATGGCTCATTTTAGGACAAAAACACTTTGTGGATATCCTGTACAATACAGGAAACACTCGCTTATTTGTGGGGGTAATCGACAAAGCATCGACACGAAACTTTTCAGGTAATCAATACCCCCTGTGTAAAATAACTGTGAATTGCATATGTTAATGTTATAGTTGCTAGCCTCTGAGGTGCATATGTATGTGAAGTCATTCTTCTGCTGACAACATTACTCAAATACACACTCTCTCGGAGCAAATAAACACTCTGTTTATTTTATATTAACCAAATATTTCAGCGCAACTAAACTACGTTTGTGATTCATGACAGATCCAACCCGTTATTGTTTCCTGGAAACTACGTGTTTGTGCACACCTTTTTAATATGTATGTGAGATTCCAGATAATTCTTTCCTCATAGCAGCAGAAGACAATGGCTTTTTTTTTTGTTACTACCGCGTCCTCCATTTCGTTTTAAGAAGTCATATGAAACAATTCTCCATAGTTGAAACCCTAACCCAGGCCGAAAAACCAAATTTAAAACCCAAACACTGGCTTCAAACTGGAATTTGAAACCCTTGCTATTATTTCAAACCCTCCTTTATAACTCTTAATGTTCCATGAAACACAGACATAAGTAGGAACCCGAAACCTTGCTTGGTGTGTCTCTGATATAAGCATTCATCTCAGAAGCTTTTATTGAAATTGATGCTGATGTCAATTTATGTGGTGCCTCGTGTCACGCTGTTCTGGAAAGATTTGAGGAATGTTGATGGAGGATCTTTCAAGCGTTTTACAAAATTAAACTGTGTTTAATAAATTAATAGTGGTAACGAGTAAGTGTAAATTTAATAATCTTGACTATACATGTACGAACCCTGCCACCAATTTGTCTATGGAGCTTCTCTTCCCCACTTTTTGACTTGCCAGCTAATGAGCATGCAGCGTCACGTCGCGGACATTACTAATTCAAAACCTCACCGTTGTTGGCCTCTCGCTCCCCCGTGCCGACTCTCACACATCTCTGAGGATACAGCGTTTTGTCGGCGTCATTCTCGTTAGCTAATGCGGTGTGTCCTTACAAGATTGTATGCTGACACCGAAGAACACGTGAAGATGCTGCTTGATCTAGCTGGATGGAGCTGTCATTTATGGGTGGTTTACACCAAATAGATATAACCTGGTCCTTTTGACCGTTTCATTGGTGTTTTTAAATTATACGTTCATCCAAGTCAAGGTACCACTTTACTTGACAAACATCTCGTATCTGCTACCAAGGCTGCTTATCAAATCATCACATGCCGTTGATACCATCACTGTGTCGCGTTTAGATTGCAATCGGTATGCAGTACTATTAGCACTCAGCGACATCGCTGCAGCTAATTGACTAGCTGGAGATATTTATCTGGGTCTGGAGAAATTTTGTCTCCTAATCCTGGACAGATTAGAACCTTTGCTGTTTTGCTTAGCAACCCTTGATATGGTGCATGTACGGTATCATAAACAATTTGAGGACGCGTTGCTGGTTACTTTGTGACTTTCTTCTTGTTTCGATGCTTTTATGTCGCGGCCTTTCAGAAAACAGCTGAGCCGAGATTGGTCGTTATCTGAGCCTCTGAGCAACTGCGAAGTCGATTTCAGCTAACAAAAAGTGGCAAAATGGCCGCCTCCTCAGATGGCTTAAAATGGGTGCATTTTGCTGCTTAACTCGTATCCACAAACACAACATGTATCAGAATGCCGTGTTTAGACTAGTGAAGGCGCATGTTGTTGTCAAGAAAATTTGGTGGTTGACTCCACCTTTAAAACAAAGCGCTGTCCGTCAACACCGTTCAAAGTGTAGCTGTGACCCACGAAACTCTTCTGGCATATCGAGGAAGCCCTCAGCGACACCTTTTAATTAGATACTGAAAGTGAACGGCGAGGAAAGAAGAAAAGTCGCTCCGAGCGTTATCTCTGTTCCTGCTGTGCATGGTGTGGTGAGGGGGGGGGGGGGGGGGGGGGGGGGGGGGGGGGGGGGGGGGGTCCAACAGTAACAAAGCCTGCTTTGGAGAGATGGTCTTTGACTATTAGTTGGGGTGTGGGAAAAGAAATCACTCGCTCACAGAAACATCCATTTAGTTGACCCAACTGGGGTAGTCAACTTGTCAGAATTTTGTCGATTTTATTATTTTGTCATTTTTGTTTTGGGAGGGCGGGACAAAAAGTCAGTCCTTTTTGTTACACTATTTACAGATTATCTCTTTACTTGAAACAAGTGTCACCATAAGCCTTTAAAAGTGACTGAACAAGTT